CTAACCTTTGGCCTCTTTGCCATATTTCTTTTTCTTTTCTTCCTTTTTATTTTTTATTTATTTATTTTCATATTCGGACTAAATTACTTTCAATATTTAATTTATTTCCCTGTTCTAGTATAAGCCTTTTGCCTTTCAATAAACCCGCTTACGAACAGAATGTTGTCTTCAGAGTTTTGATTGCTGTAAGGGGTTAATCTGATTGCTGTGTGATAGACGCGTATCGGGGGGCAGTACAAACACACGCCCCCACACACACACACACACACACATATATATATATATATATATATATATATATATATATATATATATATATATATATCTCACATCTCTCTCTCTCTCTCTATATATATATATATATATATATATATATATATATATATACGCATATTTAGGAGCATACCTTCATTCAAGCATATTTGGTTGAATAATTTAGATATATTATGACAATTTATGTTTATTTTAATCCTCTCAAATTCTCAGATGAATTTCCTCGTGCTGTTACAAAACTGAGTAAAAAGACACCAGAGTTTTGGTCATTTCTTTTATTTTCCCAAGTACTTTCAATTTCATCCTTAAGATGATCTTATCTTAAGGGGTTAATTTCTCAGACAAAAATTAATGCAATTGATAGTTGTGATTTTTTTTCTATATGTGCAGGTAATAAATGTAATACACCCATATATGATGGCACATTGAAGTGTGTGTAAATATTTGATATGCATTCGAAATATTTGATAATATATATTTATACACGCTTTTATTTTGGTTTGAATGCATATATATATATATATATATATATATATATATATATAAAGGCAGGATGTGTGTGTGTGTGTGTGTGTGTGTGTGTGTGTGTGTGTGTGTGTGTGTGTGTGTGTGTGTGTGTGTGCAACGAATGCACGGCCGCAGTTTTCGACGGATTTGCACCAAAATTTACATGCACATGCTCCGAGTTTGCGGGAAGGCCAAGACCGACATTGCATTTCCCAACTCCCGTCGATAGTGGAAATAATCGATGTTTTCTTGCTTCTGCGGCAGTTTTCATGTAGTTTGCGGCCATTTTCACTGGCCAGGAAGATTCTATTGGCCAGCGTGTGAGCCAACAGCTGACTGACACGAGTGTTAACTAGCATGTTAGCATGCAAAAAAATCGATAGCTGCATTCATCACAAGTGGGAAAAATTTAAATCTGCATGGAACTTTACTTCAATTGGCTCATTCCCTTGCTTAAACTCAACGTTGATTCTGATTCCGCAGAACTGGGTTGGGTGTGAAAAAGTCTTTGTTGTTAACATTCTTTTTTCATTCGGTTTTTCCAGTTACGAGTCCTTTTTTAAAGCTGATCGTTTTGTGTTCATTTTGTTTAGTTCTTTTTTCGTAACAGATTTAATGTTTTAGTATAGAGCTTAGAAAAAAATTCGCAATGTGAGACAAGCAAGAAGTAAGGTATGTAGCAACATCAGCACGGCAAAGGGCACTCCTTTAAAAAGGCAAGGAATGGCAAAAATATTTTAAGTCAAGTGATAGCGATTGCTGTATGAGTCGTACGATTTTTGAATCAAGCACGGGCAACGCCGGGCATGCTGCTAGTATATATATATATATATATAATATGCTTTCAGTTTAACATAATTAAAACTGAAAACTTTTTGAGTATATATTTATATATAATTTTCTAAAGTAATGTATTTTTATTTATCAATCCGACAAATTTTTATAACATTAAAAATGTTTTTTCAGTGGTTACTCATATTTGAGTCGAGGCTCTCTTTAACTATAAAAACCTATATCTATTTATTTTTGTCTACCAGCATGAATATTCAATAAATATCATTAAAGATAAATATAAGCTCTTCAGCAAGATTCGAACCTGCGTCCCTACGGCCAGAGAGAAACCGTCGTTAGATCCGACGTGCTTTAACCGACTCGACCACGGAGCAGCTGCGCCAATGAAGCAATCTCTGAACGGGCCATTAAGCGAAATCCTTATCATATTAAATTCCTCGAAATATTTATATCTACCTAGTTTCATATCCAAACGTAAGCAAAGTAATTTTCTAAGGTAATTGATTTTTATTCATCAGTCTGACAGATTTCTATTGCTTTCAAGGTTATTTTTAATTGATAATTATATTTGAGTAGATGCTCCATTTATATATTAAACATTATATTCGTTGATTTTTGTCTATAGGCCTGAATATTCGAGAAAAAGAGATTAAAGAAAAACGGCAGGATACGAACTTGCGTCTCTCTAAGCAGTGGGAAACCGTCGTTAAACATGACGTGCCTTTTAAGCGACTGTCACAGAGCTGCTATACTGATTAAGCTGCTCGGCCCGGGTGCTAGGATCAAAGTGTAGTACGCTGCCTTTGTGAGCTTCCGAGTCGGCGACTGTCGAACTTTCTGCATTAGCAGAGAGGAACCCGGACGAAGCTTTGCCAAAGGGCAAGGTTTCGTTCGGGGAGGTAGACAGGGCCTGAACCCGTCCAGGCGGGTTCAAAAAGGCTATATTTTTGGCCGAGCCTACGGGCTCGGGGATACCCACATTAAACCGGCCTTGTGCCACATTCTATCCTCGTGGGTGGATCGATAAATACTGAGCTGCTATATCGATTATGCAATGTCTGAAATGTGCTATCCAGCATATTACCTTAGAAAATTACTTTGTTTACGTTTGGATACGCAACTGTGCAAGTATGAAAATTTCATGGAATTTAATACGAGAAGGATTTCGCTGAAAGGCACGTTTTCCTGCATCAAAGCGTTTTGCCGCCATTGAAAAAAATCAAGAATCCTTTGGTGCAAAACCAGTTGAATATGACGGGTGAGATACAACAGTCAAAAATCAAGTGGTGACAGTCTATTTCATGCTTAAATGCAATCTTCAGGCTATCTTTTGAGGCCTGGAGATTGCGTTTAAGCATGAAACTGACTGACGCCGCTCTGTGCTGATCTCAGTGACCACTTTTATATATATACAGTGTACGATGGGTAAATTGTCGCCATTTTATATTTTAATTTCTCACATGTGCGTTGTTTGTTTTTGATTTTGCCAACTGCACAGTAAAGTACTGTCAGCTGGACGCTGTCTGTGAGAAAGAGAGCAACATGACGCAATTCACTCTGCCAGAAATTTAGAAACGGCATGTTGCACTGCTTGGCATTCGCGTCGGAAGCTCTAATATAAACATTCCAGAATGTTTGGGTGTCAAACTGAGCACAGTTACAGAGGATTCGGAAATAGTTAGATGAGTCTAATGTTGATTACGAAGGTACGACAGCTCGAAAAACTCACTTTGATCGTTCTGATAAGAAAAGAACACCAGAATTTGTTGGTGAGGACTCCAGCCTCAACACGGAGGCATACATCAGTTTAATTGAGAAGGTAGGGCTGCCCTGAGTCAAGAAGGTGGCTGCTGGAAGACCCTATATCTGGCAACAGGACTCCGCATTATGCCACACAAGACAATTTCTGCGACCACATCACACTTTACATCTGGCCACCTAGCTATCTAAACTGCAACCCCCTTGATTATTATGCGTGAGGCGCAATTGAGCGAGAGACCAACAAAACTCTTTGTAACACCAAAGATGTACTGAAGGCAATAATTATGGCAGCATTCACATCTCATTTTAACAGGTATATTTACTGAAATTACACAAAAAATATCTCGAAATACTAAAGAGAAAAGTTATTCAAGGAAACTGCCTTTGGCTTCAACCATGGTCTCCAGACGACTTCGGAATCCCTTGCAACTCTTCTGAACGGTCTCCTTAATTAAGTTGATGAATGCTGTCATAATCCTTGCCTTCACTTCAAATTTGGTGTTACAAAGAATTTTTTTGGTCTCTCACTCACTGCCGCACACATAATAATCAAGGGGGTTGCAGTCTGAAGTCATGTAGTCGCAGAAATTGTCTGACAGCCATGATTGAGTTCTCCTGCTTGTGTAGCATTGTGAAGAGTCATTTTTAAAAAAATATATTTGGCATTTAAAATAAACGGATATATATGTGTGTGTACGTGTGCGCGCGTGCGTGTGTGTGTACAAAAAAATAAAAATAAATTACTTTAGATTTATGAATATTAATTTTTATATTAAGTATAAGACGTATTACTGGTTCTTTCCAAAATAAAAAATAAAATAACAAACATTAATTTACGTTAAAAATTAATCTGGATCACCGTATTTCTGCAAATATTTGTTTTTAGGCCTACATCTAACCATCAATTCATTTCTCTTGTTTAATAAGCATGGTTTTTTTAAGTGTTCTAGGATAAATAATTTTTCAGTAAGGCATAAATTATACCAGTCGTCTTTCCCATTGTAAGATTTGGCTCTTGCTACAATATCCCATCATTCTTTAATTGCTAGAAATGTTTTGAGAGAGCAGTGCTGTTTATATGTTTTATATTGCCTAAAGTCATTAAATGATGGTAGAAACGAAATTTCCAAGTATTTTCATACCGGAATGTATGCTAGCTCGGTACACAATATTATCAGTTATACATTGACTGTTCAAAGGACAGATCATATTTTTTGGCGGGTGCATTTTTTTTTTTAAATTAACGTTATCTTTGTTAGAAATATATTTATTTAATATAATGTTTCTATGTTGGAATACAGATTTATCGATGTTACTAACGCAGCTATAGCTGATTTTAACATTATTTTTGTTAAAAATCTTTTTTTTAGTGTTGGTGAATGATTGAAATGAGTATGAGTCAAATTTAGGAAATTTCTTCCGATACTCGTATGAACATTACAATTAAAAGGTGGATTAAACTATATAATGTTACGCCTACAGTGTTTCTGTTTATTTTTTACCTTTTTTTATTTTACTAAATATTCTAAATTTATTTTCTTGTTGCTTAGTTCTAAAGCTTTATATATTTAATTTTATTATTATCAAATATTGCTTTAATGCTGGGGTTGGTAGATAATCTAACTTACCTGATTTGTCATATTTTATCTTTAATTGTTCACCGACAGCTTTCTTTTCCTTCCTTCCTTCCTTTTTTATTAATCTTCTCTGTCTCTTACCCTCATATTTTCCCCTGTTTGTTGATAACGAAAAGAATTTGATAAAAATGCTTTCGTGATACTGGCAATTAAAATCTGAAAAGTACTTCCAAGCTGATTTAAGAATAATTAATTTTTTCTTTTTCTTTTTTTTTTCTTTCTTTTTTTTCTTGTCTTTTCTTTTTTCAGTCTTTTTTCTTTCCTTTATCCTTTCTTTCTTGTAGAATTCCTCCTGATTCTTCTGTACGTCATTTTAAACGGTGTTTCCTGACCACTTCTTTATTGCACCGAAAATGATTATCTAATTTCTAAGAAATTCCTAAGTGACTTCATTTCTTCATTAGACGATAACGTCTTTATTTGATTCTTGTGCTTCTGTGAAACTTTACACTTTGAAAATCGATCAAAATTCCATGAATTTCTGGATACGAACTTAAATGTCTACGGACATAAGAGGCAAAGAAAACGTTTTATTTTTTAAATATCTATTTGTTCCTCTTCCTCTCTCTCCCTCTCTCTCTCTCTCTCTCTCTATCTGATCTGTCTATCTATCTATCTTTCCATCTCTCTCATTTTCACTCTCTCTTTCTCTTTAATATTCTCAGTTTCTTTCTCTCTCTCTCTCTATCTCTCTCTCTCTCTTTGTCACGTTCACTCTCGCATTTTCTCTCATATCGTTCCATCTCTTAAATTCTTCTCTCTCATATACTCTCTCTTTCTTTCACTCTTTCTCTCTCTCTCTCTCTCTCAAACGCTGACAATTTTCTCTCTCTTTCTCTCTCTTACATTTTCTCTCTTTTTCATATTCTCTCTCTTTTCTTTCTCATTTTCTCTCTTTTTCACACTCTCACTCCTTTACATTCTTTTCGAATTTAAATATACACTACACTACAGAATTTGACTGAGAAACCATGGCTGTAAAAACAATTAGCATTCAGCACTCAATTTAAATGAGAATTCTGTATTAACGATTATATATATATATATATATATATATATATATATATATATATATATTTATTACATGTCATTTTGCAAAACTCACATGAAATACGAATGATTGACTCGTTCTATAAGCTGATGACACAAAAATATGATAATGCTTGCAGCAACATCGAAATATGTTTCGTATATCAAGCTGCAGCATATCAAGAGATGTTAAATGTATTTCATATCCCGACAAATCACTTTTTTGTAAAAAATAAGAAAATAAAATCAGGACAACTGAACCAAGGAAGGAAACATTCGACGAAATGATTCAAATTATAAATCATTATATATATATATATATATATATATATATATATATATATATATATATATATATATATATATATATATGAAGAGAACCTGCAAACGTAAAATAACATTTCCTCATGTTCTTTTAATATTTCATTGTTCATTTTTTGTATTTGTAGTGACCCTTGATCTCATTTTTTCAACTATTGGCGACTTTCTTCCTAAGTGGTAATAAAATCATTAGGCTTGGTGTTAGTGGTGGGATTGACAGATGTTTTGATGACAGATGACCCACCCCTATCCATACATCACCCCTGAGAATATCAAATCTATTTCCACTTCTGTACATAGAGTGTGCATGTGAGCGTGCATGTCCCTGCTATCTTGCACATTTATTGTGAATGTAGTCATGGGGTTTTCAAAATAAAAATTTAAAATGCGACTCCTGGGTATGGCGAATGTTAAAAATATTAATATTAGAATTTTTTTTAGATTTTGTTTATTGATTAAATTCCTGGTTTATTTGTGGAAGTTTTAAACACTTAAATTAGCATCAAACATTAACCGATTTTTTTTTTAAATTTAAAAATATATATATATATAAATCTGTGTTTTTCCAGTTTGGCAGTGATATGCCCGCCTCCGTTAATTTTCTTAATTTCTCTCTCCATTTTTCCCCCTCTCTTTCTTTCAAAACCCTAGGTCCATCTCTTACATCTTTACTTTCTTTTTTTCTCGCTTTATATCGTTTCTGGTGAGTTGATCTTTTAAATAGGTCAATGTTTAATCCTTCCTCTCTATTAAGTATTTTAATAAAAATAAATTTAAAAGCATTATCATCTCTCCCTTCCCTCTCTAATTTCGAACATGTCTGTTACACTATCTCTCACCCCTCTCTCTATCACCTTACATCTGCTGAATACTACCATACAAAAATATAAGTTTAAATTCATTTTTTCATACTTGGAAATGAGGTCTGATGATTCAAAGAACAAGAAAATCCCTGGGGAAATAAATTATAACCTTAGGGAAACTTAAAATTGTCTGGTTCCGTTTAAGTTAAATTACATATATATATATATATATATATATATATATATATATATATAAACTACTGGCATTTGTAAACCAGGTGACATTACGGAATCCGATTGGGAAATAACTGTATAACCCGGGTATAATTTATTTCGTAACCCGGGTGGAATTTAGTATATAATCTGTTGGAATTTATTGTCTAGCCTAGGGTGAATTTATTACGTAACCTGAATGTAAACCCTTGTGTAAACCAGGGAGAATTTGTTAGATAATCCAGGCAGAATTTTTTACGTAAACACTGGATTTTATTATGTAACCGAATGGAATTTGTTATGACATCTGGGTGGAATTTATTATGTAACCTGGATGGAAATTTTTGTGTAACCCGGGGATAATTTGTTGGTTAATGCGGAATTAATTTTTACGCAAATGGACTGGATCTTATTATACAACCAAGTGTAATTTGTTACGTAATTTATGTGGAATTTATTGCGTAAGCTGGGATAAATTTTTAATATAACCTGGGTGAATTTTTTTTTTTTTTATATTGGCCAAGCGGAATTTATTATGTAACCCGAATGGAATCTATTAAACAAATACCTCAGATATTCTGTCGGATTTTTTTAAACGGGTAATTATCAAAAATATATGCTTTGCTATAGAAGCCAGAATACTAAATATTGTTTATGGGGCACTCGTTGAAGATCGATCTCAATGTTAACAAGACCAAGTCACTAAAAACTACCCACGCCTCGACTATAAAATGCTTAGTTGATGTTAAAACAACGGCTTTTATTTAATACTAGCAGTAGAGCCCGGCGTTGCCCGGGGATGTAACAGGAAGAGATAGATCGAGTATCGACCATCATAAAGACTGAAAAATAAAACTAACAAAGATTATTATTTAAGGTTGACGGATACGCATGTCTTAATTAGATTTTTTTTTTGTTTTGTTTTGTTTTTTTGTTTTGATTTTTGTTTTTTTTTTGCGAATTGGTCAAACTCAAACAAAAACATTGTTTTCAATCGTTATAGTCTATCGATTGAATAGAATTTTATTATAAGCAGTTGTCTTGTAAATGGAATTTTAAAGCATTCTGAATGTAAAAATAAAGAAAGAAAATGTGCAAGACAATAAGAAACACTACCTGCCAAAAAAAAGTGAAGTTTTGTTGAAATCGGTTGAAAAATGTAGGAAATCCGATCCCATATATAAACGAACACGCACACACACACAAACAACCTGGGTTTTATAATAAGTATAACTCGATATGAGTTGTCCCCCTTTCATTCGGGCGACAGAATCGTATTTTATCGTGATTTCAAATTGATTTCATGCAAAAACAATTGTGTTTTTCCAATTTTTGGTGCTGTCAGAAGCACCGCAAGGTAATTTTACGTAGTACTGTGAAGTTTTGTTGAAATCGGTTGAAAAATGTAGGAAATCCGATCCAATATATAAACGAACAGACACACACACACACAATCTGTGTTTTATATAATAAGATATATATATATATATATATATATATATATATATATATATATATATATATATATATATAATAAGACTAAAACACATATAGATGGAACGAATACATTGAGTCAATAGCTTCGTCCACCGCAAGGAAAGTCGGCTCCCTGTGCCGCACCATGTAATTTTTCTCGCCGGAGACATTCCTTCAAATCAACAAATCAACCATTCGCGCTAGCATGGAGTATTGCTGCCATATATGGTCTGGAGCCCCTTCTGCTTGTCTCAAGGTCCTTGATAAAATCCAAAGTCGGATATGCAATGTAATTGGCCCTGGTCTAGCATCTCGTCTGCAACCGCTCTCTCACAGACGTGCTGTTGCATCCCTCTGTCTTTTTTACAAATACTTTCACGTTAACTGCTCCGATGAGCTGCTTTCGCTGGTTCGCAGACTTCATGAATTTAAGCGTTCTACTAGGCTGGCATCTCGCTCTCACCCTTTCACTGTCGAAACTGTTAAATGTAGCCATCTTTTCTACTACAATATGTCTCGCACTTCTCGCCTGTGGAATTCCCTCCCCTTTTCTTGTTTTCCTGATAGCTATAATCTCCAACTATTCAAATGTAATGTCAATCGACGTCTCCAGATGCCTTGATCTATCCCCTATCTTTCTCTTCATCCTTTCCTCTATCACTCCTGTTTGCTCTCACTCCAACTCTCTGTAACACCTTGCGTGCTAGTGGCTTCCCGCCTTGCTTGGGGTTGAATGCTTAAAAAAAATTCTCCTTCGAGGTAGTTCCCTTCTGAAGCCACACGCTTTCTCCAGCATCATTTCCAGTACATTACTGAACTCCTTTTCGTTGGATAGCGAGCAGCCGCCCAGTTTCATTCTCTTAGATTTCCTCGACGTCTTCAAATCGTGTTGCTTTCAAGTGGGATTTGATTTTCAAAAAGCAAAAAAGTCACAAAGGGCGAGATCTGGGAAATATTGTGGTTGTCAAACCTGAGAAATTTTGTGCTTGGTTAAAAATTACTGGAAAAGCCTTGATCACTGATGAAACCTTTGTGGCTATAGTGAAGACGACCACACTCTGCACACATTCCTTCCAAGCACTACTATAAATAAAAGAAGTGACCGACAACGTTATAACTTTGTGTGTATTTGCGACAGGGTTCAAGATCAATGCATGACAAGCGGCTTCACTCAGCGTATTTTAATTCCGTTACCATAACAACAACCCCGATATATTTTTTTATCAGACCTCGTATATATTCAGAGTACGATGGATAAACTGTCGCCATTTTATATTTTTAATTTTACGTTTGTTTGTTTTTTTTTTTTTTTTTTTATCGTCTGCACAGTATAGTAGGGTCAGTTGGGCACCGTCTGTGAAAAAAAAGAACACCATAGCGCAATTCACTCCGCCAGTAATTTGGAACCAGCATGATGTATTGCTTAGCATTTGCGCCGGAATCTTCAATACGAACATTTCATTGTGTTTGGGTGTCAATCTAAGGTCAGTGCAGAGGATTCGGAAAGAGTAGGAATTAATATTTTTAAAGTTCTATGCTTGTAACGGAGAGAAAGCTGAGCGAGTGTATGAGAAAGCGTGTCAGTCTCTGGAATAAGATTTAAATCAAGTCATCGAGCGAAAATAATTTGCTGAACTGAGTATGAATAGAATTTAGATACACCTCCAGCGGCCATAGGCTTGCTTTCATATTTAGCAGCCAATCAATAATTCAGTACGAGTTACGCGACCCTTACTTACATGTCTTTCTTTTCTTGTGTTATTACACTTGTTTTTCTCTCACTCTCTCACTCTCTTTCTTTCTTTCTTTCTTTCTTTCTCTGTTTATGTATGTGTAGGTGCGTGTGGGTGTGGGTGTGCGTGGGTGCGTTGGTTGTGTGTTTAGGCGCTCAACGAACCAGCTAAACTGATTTCATCAATCTAGTTAAATAGATCAGGCTCTTTGACAGTTTCGGAGATTTTATACTAAATAATGTGATTCTATTACACCAGCCATCACAGAATTTAATTCGGTTATGGTATATTTTATAGCATTTCCTTGAAATATTTCATAGCATTTCCTTTTTTAATAAATTTTGTGTAGAATATATTTAACTTGAAAAGTGTCGTTTAAATTTCAAATTTTATTATTTATCGTACGAATACGAACGTATTATTTAATTCTAAATGTGTAGAACTTCCAATTTCGCGTTTTCTTACCTTCCTGTGTATTCTTGTCTTTCCTGTTCTCAATCATAGTCTTTTATTTTCGAAACTCTCTCAGCTCAACAAAATAAATCTGTCACGTTTCGTTTATTTCTGATCGATCTACGCTTTAGCCAATCGACAAAAAAACACTGTTTAGCTTAGAGCGTCAAAAAAAAAGAAGAAAATTTGTTTGTTTGTTTTTTTAAAATAGAAAAAAGAAAGAAACGTCGTCTGCTTTATTGGTTTAATGCGAGATCAAAGTAAACATTTTTTTTTACAACACCGAACCGCTTCTTGTTTAAATATTAAAATGTCTTTCTAAACTTCTGACACCAAATATGGTGGCGATTTAATAATTATCAATTTTTATTATTGCTCTCATTGTTGTCGTTTTATCACGTTGTTTTGGCCGGTATAATCTCCAACCACTGTCGGGTGGATGTCGACACCAGAAATTGTTCAACCGTTTTTAAGGAAAACTTCATATTTAATTCAGTGGTTTCAGATGCCACTTAGAGCTTTTCTGTTTCTACTAAACTGAAGAAATGGGATTCATTAATTAGCAATAAGAAAAATAAGAAGCGGCAGTAAAGGAGGTCAAGCGTGACAGCACCAACAACAACAGGAAGTTAATAAGACCAGTAGCTGTAAAAGAAGTGTCTTAATAAATTAAACCGATATGCCGGTGGATTCAAATATTGCTCCGGGAATTCCATGGCATAGTAATTATTTACTCAATCTGTGGATTGGCCGGACGTGTGTGTGACGTCATAAGCTGCGGTGCGATTTTCGCTTCCAGCGTTTTATATGCACGTGTTTATCGTTGCTTGGAATTCATCCATGTAAACACAAACAGATTATCATCACATTCTTGTCCGTGTATTGCTTAATATATTGTACTCTAATTGTCATCTTTGATAATGGCTTATGTAAGCCGAAAGCTTAGATTGGATTAAAAAATATGTATCAATATTGTGATTTTCTTTCTTCGTTTAATGATAATGTTATTAAGCTTATCAGATGTTATGAAAAGAATTTACATAAAATAAATAGACAATACTTGTCTATATTATTTAATGAAACATATATATATATATATATATATATATATATATATATATATATATATATATATATATATTGTTGTATTTAGGCAGCATATTTTCATTTATACACGTTTCATTAAATAATATAGACAAGTGTTGTCTATTTATTTTATGTAAAATTTTTCGTATCTTCTGATAAGTTTGGTAACATTATCATTAACCGAAAAAAGAAATTCACAATATTTATCCATTATTTTAATGGATAAATAAAAACAAAACAATGACAGACTATCATCGCTGTCGTGTCCGTATATTGTTTGATATGTTTGTAATTACATCTTTGATAATGGCTTGAGTAAGCCGAAAGCTTAGATTTTATTAAAAAATAATGGATAAATATTGTGAATTTCTTTTTTCGGTTAATGATAATGTTACCAAACTTATCAGAAGATACGAAAAAATTTTACATAAAATAAATAGACAACACTTGTCTATATTATTTAATGAAACGTGTATATATATATATATTGCGTATTTAGGCAGCAATCCTTCATTTATACATGATTCTTTACAGACGATAGACAAGGAGCTAGGAGCTTAAAACTTGGAATCTAAAATTTGGTGGGAGTTTTTACCTCATTGACTATATCGATATGTCCAAAGTCTTTTTCCTTTCTGGGCCAAGGGACTGTTCAAATGTTCTATAATTCCGAGAGCTTTCGGTTATAATTTTAATTGTTATCGAGGATGGTTTTATTTTTGCTTTTTAATTGGGTGTATGGGTTGTGTATATGGTTTTAGACTTTTAGGGATGTTTTATTTTTCGAACACAGCACATAACACAACTATGTTATTTACTGTGGAAATACTACCATTTCTCAATCAGACTTTGCCAAAATCAATGGCATTTTGAAAAGAATGTTCAATGCCGATAAATCCTTGCATTTCCTCAAAAGGGGCTTAAAACTTGGAATCTAAAATTTGGTGGGAGTTTTTACCTCATTAACTATATCAATATGTCCAAATTAATTTGGGAAAATATGTAAAATCGACCTACCCTACTATATATATATATATATATATATATATATATATATATATATAAAAAAAGTGAACATAGAAGTCAACACTTAGAGGCAACAATCTGTTTCATGCTATATGCAATCGTCAGGCCACGTGTGCTGTTATTTTTCTCGGCTATTTATATATATACGGGTCAGTGATGCATTGTGGGTAGTCTATTATGGCGGTTATTTTACCGGAAGTCGTTTATTTATTTATTTGGGTTAAATTATTTTGCTTGTTTTTATTTATTTTTATTTTTTGTTTCTTATTTTGTTTATTTATTTATTTATTTATTTTTAATCGGTGTTTTTATTAACGTAGTAAAAATTTGTTTATATCACTTATTTGATAGTTTTGTTTTGGTTTGAGAATTTAATTAAAGCTATTTGTTTGGTTTTGGGGTTGATTGTTGTAGTTTATTCTAACTATTATTTTGGCAGGAACAGTTTTTAATTTGTGTTTATTTATTTTTTTCTAACGGTAACTTTATCGGGATTGGTTCGTTTATTTATTTACATGGATGAATTTAGGTCAATTTATTTTACTTGTATTTTTTCTCTTTTCGATTTTTAAGTAACGTAGTATTTATTTATTTATTATTTTTATTTTATTTTATTTTATTTTTTTTATTATTTTTTTATCGTTATATAACAGTTATAGCTATTTTTTCCTCAGATTTTTGGTTTGATTTTTTAGTCTAATTAATATTTTGGTCATAATGGTTTGCTACTTTGTTTATTATTTACTTTATTTATTTGGGTTCGTTGGTTTTTTTTTGTTTTTTTGTTATTATTATTATTGTTATTATTATTCTATTTCGTCTATTCTAACAGGTGTGATTTGGTAATTTGTTTGGATTAATTAATTTTGCTTATTTTATTGTTATTTTGTTTACTTGTTTATTTATTACATCGACAGTAAATGTAACCGCCACTTCTACTCCAGCGGTTTCTTTTCTCGCACTTCCCGCCTGTGGAAATCCCTTCTGATTACTTGCTTCCCTAAGAACTACACACTTCCAAAATGTAAATGCAACATCAATCGTTATCTTTCATCTTCTTGAATTCCGTTCATCTTTTGTCATTGCTTCAATCTTCAGTTTCTTCAAGGATACTTTCTGTCGCCTGTTCTGTTTGTCCTTAATCCCCCTTTTACATGAACTATGGACAAAAAGGCTTTTTTTAAATGTGTCTTTAATCGCTTATTCTACATGGATGATATCAAACATTTTGTATCAGTGATGACATAGGTATGGATTTCGGATTAGATAAATGTGACATTCAAGAAAGGTAGAATTGTACAAACAGACTCAATAGATCTAGATTTTGTCACAAAGATTAAGGAACTGGAACAAGAAGATGTCTACAAATTTCTAGGGGTCAGCGAAGAAGATGGAATACAGCAGACACAAGTGAAGAAAAAGTAAAAGAATACTACAGGCGTGTGCGTCTAGTATTAAATACCGAGTTCAATTCTTACAGAATGTTATCTGTAAACACTTTGGTTGTCCCTGTGGTGCAATAAAGTTTCACCATAGTTGACATTAAGTGAATGGATGTCAAAATGAAAAGTTTCACACTTGCCACCGCATGTATCATCCTAAGGCTGATGTTGATCATCTCTATATGTCCAGATCCGAAGGAGTTCGAGGATTAGTTCAACTAGAACTGTCATACTAAACCACAATAATCGGTCTTCAAGGATACTTGGAAACTACAGAAGTCTGGATGATGGTCTATATCAAAGAACATCAACGAATTAAGAAACTTTATTCAGTAATAAAGGAAGCCAATAAATTCAAAAGGGAATTTCAAGTCGGTTAAGAAACGGAAATAAACCATAATACACTTACTACAGCGACAAAGAATCTAAAAAAGAAAGCAAAAGAAAATGAAATGTACCAAATGCTGAGACGATGCCAAAATAAACCATTTATGGTCAACACTCTACCTATACTAAATAGGCTGATGTCGACAAACCCCGTACCTATCAGTGGTTACGTTGTGCAGGGTTAAAAGCTGAAACCGAATGTTTTATTCTTGCTTCACAGGAACAATGCTTACTAACTCGAAATTACCAAGTATACAAACTGAAAAATTGTGTTAACCCGAAATGTGATAAATATCCAGAAAAAATTGACCCGGTTACACAGTGTTAAATACCCAATTAATATAAAACCCGACATGACAGAGTAGATCAATATCTGCACTTGAAAATCTGCAATTTTTACGGGAAGAAAACTGTAACAAACTGGTATGAATATCACCCAGATCCGGTTACAGAAATAGGACCTGTAAAATTTTATGGGACTTTACAATGCACACAGACAGAATAATTAAAGCTAATCGCTCAGACATCAGGATCAAAGACCACAAAAACAAAATGTTCTTTCTTACTGATATGGCAGTTCCTGTCGATCTTTGAAGATCTTCAATAAACTATCAAAATAATGTGGTACTTAAAATGGAAATATGAAAATGATTGATTGGAAAATGTTCTAATAGACTCACTGAAGGGCAGTCAAAGCCTTAAAGAAATAGAAAATATGTTATTTACAAATACAGCTAACACATCACGAAGAGCTTTATGTATGTCAAATGCGTGTGATCTTTTCTTTTACCAAAATGATCAGTGGACAATGTCATGAAGCTATTTCTAACCTTAGGTTAGTTTGGACACGGAAGGAAATAATAATAATAATAATAATAATAATAATAATAATAATAATAATAATAACTTAAAGGGGCCAATAAATGAAGTCTATCAACACCTTAGCTATACCCGTTGTAATATACAGCTTCAACATTATTAAATGGAATTTGAATGGCATTAAAAGATTGGACGTTAAAGAGCAGCAAAATGCTTACTCAAATTAGGATGTACCATTGAAATCAAATGTTGATAGGCTGTATGTACCGAGAGCTTTACGAGGTCGAGGTCTAATTCAACTTGAATTAACTCTAAAATTTACAACAATCGGACTGGAAGCCTACCTCACAAAAAACAATAACCCTCTCCTACAAATAGTAAAACACCAAATCCACTCCATCAACAAAGAGGCTGCACTCTTCAAGAAATAGCTTCATATACCTGAAATCCTACCAACAAAAAACGAAGTGAATACCATGTATACCAAACGAATAAAGCAGAAAGCAAAGCAACTTGGCCAAATGAAATTACAACAAAACTTGGATGACAAGTCGTTGCATGGCAAATAGATAAAAAGAAAAAAAGCAGATGTGGACCAACAAAAAAACATATCAGTGGCTGAGAAGTGCCGAGCTGAAAGCTGAGACAGAAGGCCTAATTATTGCAGCTCAAGCCCAAAGCCTCGCAACCAGATCCTATCACTGTCACATAATCAAAGATGGAACTAACCCGAAATGCAAGACCTGCGAAAAATATGATGAAACTGTCGACAATATTATCTCAGGATGTCTGGAACTGGCCAAAAGTGAATATGTCCACCGACATAACAAGATAGCGGCATATGTGCAGTGGAAGATATGTTAGTAGCTCAAAATTGAAACCACAGAGAGGTGATATGAGCACCAATCAGACACAGTTACACAAAATAACAATGTAACTATCCTCTGGAACATGACAACTCAAACTGACAGGGAAATAAAAGCCAACAGACCTGATATTGTCATAAAAGACAAGAAATTCAGGAAATGTATGCTTATTGACATAGCAATACCATCTGAGAGAAACACCTTCATAAAAATTATCGAAGAATTGTCCAAATACAAGGACCTGGAGATCGAGATTAACAGGATGTGGGGAACGAAGACTGAGACTGTACCAATAGTAATCGGAGATCTGGGCCGTGTGAGAAAAGGAATGGACAATCTTACTAACAGTGTCCCAGGTAGCATCAACATAAAAGTTGCCCAGAAAATCGCCCTACCAGGAACATCCCATATACTTAGGAAAGTGCTATCAATTAAATGGCAATTCTCCTATAGAACCGAAGGACCATAGTTTGGACTCGACTCTACGGGATACAAAACTGGAAACATAACACACAAATAATAATAATAATAAAGGCTAAAATCAACAAAGATGGCTGAAATGCCGCCAGTTGGTTATGCCATAAATTTAATGAAACTGTTGACCACATAGTATCAGGGTGCCCTGTCCTAGCTGAGAAAGAATGCATTGTTAGACATGACCAGTGGAGACAATATATTCATTGGCATTGGTTTGGTTTGGTTTGTTTTACGGCATATCAATCTCTATCGGTTATTTAATGCCGACAAAATTTTTATTGCTGGTATTATTTTTTCCAAAAATGTATAGTTGGTAATAGTTTTTTTTTTTTTTTCAAAAATGTATTGCTGGTAATAATGTATTGCTGGTAATAGTTTTTTTTGGGGGTTTTTTCAAAAATGTATTGCAGGTAATAATGTATTGCTGGTAATATTTTTTTTAATGTATTGCTGGTAATAATGTATTGCTGGTAATTTTTTTTTGTTTTGTTTTTTTAATGTATTGCTGGTAATAATGTATTGCTGGTAATAGTTTTTTTTAAATGTATTGCTGGTAATAATGTATTGCTGATAATATGTTTTTTTTTTTTTTTCAACAATGTATTGCTGGTAATAATGTATTGCTGGTAATAGGTTGTTTTTTTTTCAAAAATGTATTGCTGGTAATAGTTTTTTTTTTTTCAAAAATGTATTGCTGGTAATAATGTATTGCTGGTAATAGGTTTTGTTTTTTTTTTCAAAAATGTATTGCTGGTAATAATGTATTGCTGGTAATATTTTTTTCATCAAAAAATTATTGCTGGTAATAATGTTTTACAAAGTATTTCTGGTATTAAGTGCTATTTTTACACTTGCATAGTGTTTTGACCCCAATTTGGGGGTTAACTATTTGCCCATACCTGAGACCCTAACATGTGCTACCTGGGAACACTAGCAATTAAGACGCTCCTCAAAACCTCCTGATCCGAGACCTTGCTGTTGGACGTAGTTTATCGTCTTACCCACTGCGTGGATGTAGTTTATCGTCTTACCCAGGACGCGTGTGTGATATGAAACTTCCGGATAAATAGTACAAATACCACCCAAATCATCTCACAAATAGTAATGAAGTGACGATAGTGTAGAATTTCCCAATCCTCACAAACAGGAAAATTGAAGCAAAATGACCAGCCATTGTCATAAAAGATTTCAAAAAGGGAACCTGACAATTAATTGATATGACTTACCGACAGAATTCTAATATTTCTAACAAAGAATTTCAAAAAACTGGCAAATTATAAGGACCTGCAAATCGAAGTAGAAAAATATGGAAACTTAAAACTCCCATTATCCCTGTTGTGATTGGGCTAATGTGCGTGATAAAGCATAAAACTCCTGGACACATCAGCATCTCATTGTCATAAAAGATTACTTTGTGTGGAACTATGCATATCATCCTCACAACCCTCTCTATCTAAATGGAATGTCCCAAATGTGCATATATAACTCTCCTAAAGTGATTTCCTTTCTACTCACTGACCCCAAAGGAGACTTGGTAATTAGGCTCTTAAAAATTATTCTTTGGCAAGAGGATACAACACTAATATGCGTATATAGTCATTTAATGTTTACAGGAAATACGTTTTGGTGTAAACGTCTCTAAAAAAAAAAAACGAAACTGATTTTGATACACCTAATACTTTCGGATAAATGAATATTTATATTTCCATTAATTCTTTCTTTGGTGCTACTGTTATATTCTCCCATTCTATTAATATTAGCCTTTATCAAATTTTTTTGTTTTCTGATCATTTATTTCTTCCATTCATTCTTAGGTCCAACTTTTTTCGCACATCTACTGTGCTTTCTTCTTATTTTCCTACAAATTTCTTGTTTGTTTCTACGTCTCTCTCTCTTTCTATCACTTCCTATCTCTCTCACTTTCTTTCACTCTTTTTCTCTTTCTTTCTCTTTCCTTCTCAAACTCGCTTTTACTCTCTTTCTCTCAATCTCTTTCTATCCATCACTTTCTATCTTCCTTCTCGCTTGTTTATTCTTTCTTTCAAATATTTTTCTGCATTAGTTACTCCTTTTTTTTTCATTTTCTTTTCCGTTCTTCGTTTTATGCTTTCTTCTTTATCTTTCTATATATTTTTCTCTCCACCTCTCGCTTCTATTTCTCTTTTTCTCCCTCTTATTCTAAATTTCTCTTTCTTTCACATTCTTTCCTCTGTCTTGATTATTCTTTCTTTCAAATATTTTTCTGCATTAATTACTCCTTTTTTTTTTTTCTTTTCCATTCTTCGTTTTATGCTCTTTCTTCTTTATGATCCTCGTTTATATTATTATTTTCTCTTATTTCTTCTTCTTTACTCTATTACGCATTCATCTACAAATATCCGATCAATTTTTGTTGCCTTTCTTTAGCTTACATAAAATGGTGGTCGACTATAATCTGCATTTTCAAATAATTTATTCTATGCCATTAGCACAACTCAAACAGAGAAAGTAGCTGATCAGAGGAAAGACCAATTTATTAATTTTGAATAAATTTAAAAAAAGGTTTATAACGTCTGCTTCTTACAAAATGTTTTATCGAATTCTAAGGCGTGGACAGCCGCTGGGAAATGGCTGAAGTAGTTTTTTTTTCTTTCTTTCATTTCATTCCTTTAGATCTTTGCAACAAAATGGTGGACATCAGTGAAAAGATATGGACGTATAAAATGTGAAAGAAAAGAAAAAAATATGGAAACGTTTTAAAAAGTGCAATAACTGAAATTCTTTGTTGATTCAAAGAATTGGTCTCTATGATAAGAAAGTCGGAAAACATGATAGTGGACAGAGTGAGAAAGGAGGTGTAAAACGTTAAGAATAAAACAAGTGGACACTTAAAAAGAAAAATGAGAAGACAACAAACTGCTAAAAAAAAAAGAAAAGGAAACGATGTGAAGTTTAATGGCAGAATTAGAAAACCTATGACAAGAAGAAACAGTGAATTTAAAGGAATACAAATAACAAAGAAAAGCGCAGACAGTTAAAGAACACAACAGAAAAAAAGACGATGAAATGTAGAAGAGGAGGTATTTGTAAATTGAATAAAAACGACGGTGAAAAATCTCGAAAATACAGCAAGATTGAAAGTAAAAGAAACTGAAGTGAAGAAGGAATAAATTATGGCTAATAACTTTTATGAATAAGCAAACAGAGAAACGGAGAGAAATATGAGTGTTTGAAGGATAAAATAAATGAGAATATTTGAGGAGGAAACTGCGACGAGCAGATGTCAATAAGAGAAGCCAGTTGTAAATCAGCAAAAGTGTAAAGAGACGGGAAATTTGTGAAACAAACATGTCAGACACAAAGAAGTTGTAATTAGTGAGTAGAGACAAAATGACAAATAAAGAAAGGTCAAGATTGTGTAAAAAAAATGAACCAAACAGAAAGAAAGAAAGATCAATGAAAAATCAGGAACAAGTGGAAAGAATGCTCAAAGAGATATTATTTTTTTTTTTTTTAAAAAAAAAAAAAAAAAAAAGCAGGAAGGAGAATGTCTTAGAAAGAAAGGCGGGTAGGTAGGTCAAAGAGTGTAAAAAAAAATAGAAAGACCAGAAAATAGAGGAAACAAATCTCAAAGAGATTTAAAAAAAAAAATAAATAAATAAAAGCAGGCGAAAGAAACAAAAGAAAACAAAATCTGGCATTTGCTTGCATCTAATCACTAGATGTTTAAATGTTTTATAGTTTATAATCTGGCACTGGGATATTCGTCAGAATAAGGCTAACTTCGTTAGCAAAGATCTACACGTATCTGTCTATATTTCAGAGATGAGGTTTTATGTACACTATTTACATTATTCGGACTATACTCCTCATCTTAGTCGCCATATTTATTACAACGTTTCGGCCGTTGTACGCTCCGGCCTTCTTCAGGTGGTTGGAATGTCGAACTGAACCCTTTATTTCGCTCACTGGGATAGACTGTTCTAGTTCCACGTGTCATGTTTAATGGATGTCAGTTATCAGTTATCTCCCGTTTAATTCCCCTCTCCAAGTTCTCCACCGCAAGGACACATGGCACAGGGGATAAAGGCGTTGGTTAGATCCAGTGACAGGACCCAAAGAGTGTGAGTTCATTACCTGGTCAAGGCTAAAGAAGCTAAAGTTGCATGCCTTTAAAAGTGCTCTACTAAACCGGGTCACTAAAATCACGTTAGCGCATATAGAATTTTAAATTTAGAAATATGAGCAAACTCTAAAAAGAAACTGCTCAAAACTGCATACTGACAAAAAAGCGCTCGACGCCATAAGAAAAGGCAGATCTCTCTCTCTCTCTCTCTCTCTCTCTATATATATATATATATATATATATATATATATATATATATATATATATATATATATATATATATATATACATATATATATATATATATATATATATATATATATATATATATATATATATATTGCTTTTTTGTACAGAATTTCAGAAGTGATACAAAAATGACGGTGATCGATAAAAATCTGAAAAAAGCAATTGAAGTATCACTCTGTTATTGAATTTTTGACTTGGGAAAAGATTGCCCGGCAGGAAATCTGTGATTGCGTGAAAAATATATGTACTGCATATCGCCTTTCGTATGAGACGGTCAAACGTTCGGCTGTTGAATGTTGCCTGGAGTGGTGATCCCTTGAAATCGAATCACGATCAGTGCAGCTTGTGGAATCAACGATTTTTGAAAAACAATAGACTTGATCGTGAAGTAAAGTAAAATAAAAATAAAAAGAGCAAGAAAAAAGTATACTTTTCCTATTGTTATACCGTCGAGAATGATGGCTTGAAATGATTCGAAAACCATTCTCATGTTTCTATGTTGCATATATTCGTCTATAAATGAATATTTTGCATATAAATTCCCTTTATTCACCCATTCATGTACATTGCATCCTTTAACCAATTTATATTTTTATAATTAATAATGGATTTTCATTTTCTTTTATAATTAATAGCGGATTTTTTTTTTACATTTTTAATTAATAACTGATTTTCATTTACTTTTTATAATTAATAACGGATTTTCATTTTTTTGTAATTAATAACGGATTTTCATTTTTATTTTTAAAATTAATAATATATTTTTATTTCATTTTTATAATTAATAACTGATTTTTTTTAAAATTTCTCTTATAAATAACGATTTTTAAAAAAATTAATACTGGATTTTACGGTAGGTGATAATAGCTAAATTTTACGGTGTAGACGATAAATCTTAAAAGTTTAAACCAGAAAAACTGTCGTATCAGTTGTCGAATGTTGAAAAATAATTGTAATTGTGATGTTTGTTTTTGAACTACATGTTAAGAGACTTCAGACCATATATTAACATTTGTAATTGAAAGAAAGAAAGAAAGAAAGAAAGAAAGAAAATAAGAAAGAAAGAAAGAAAAATTAATTAATTAATTACAATCAGAAAGACACAAGTGAAATTTCTGGGACACATAATGAGGACAGAATGCAGTGGAGAATTTAACAGCCACAATTCATATTGAAGCCAACCAACACTTTGTGGAATAGACTTCCATATAGATGCGTCCTCAAACTCTATAATCTTAATCTTTTCGAGTTAAGGGTTAACCGTTATGTGTCTTACATATCCTTATAATCTTCTCTACTTTCTCTTCTTACATTCAGTAATCCTCTACCTTGGGTGGCTCTGGAGACTTTTTATTAGGCGAACCTTAATACAAAAAAAAAAGAAAAAACAAATAAAAGAAAGAAGCAGTTGCAAATAACGCTGACCTTATTTAAAGCGGTAAGGCTTGATGAAGGAAAAGAAATATGCCAATTTTACAGCTAGAATTAGTCGAGTCGATTGTCTGAATTAACACTGAAAAAGAATGTTGTTAAAAGACAAGAGTATTGAAGACAGACTCGGCTGAAACTTAAACTCAAAACCCCAGTTCTACAGTGTCGACAAACGCTATGCTACATGCACATCAAACCTATTTATATAGAAATATTCAAATATACAACCTATATCTATAATTCTCAAAATATGTGCGTGTGTGTGTGTGTTTGATCGGATGTTGTTTATGCAACTCCACAGTTTTCATCCAATTTCGATGATTTTTCTTTTGTTTGATAGATAATTCTGCAGTGCCGGTTTTGAGTCCAAATTGTTGTCGACAACGGCTCTCCACTACTTCCTGTCCCTTATAACTCTCAGCAACGCTTTACTAATTACTATCAGTTCTTGGATAAATATCTTTCATAAAATCTTTAATAAAAATAGTTTAAATTATTAATATTTAAATTTAAATTATTTAATAAAAATAGTTTAACAATTGTTCATTATTATATAATTCCCTTTTTAGGTCCACCCCCATTCAAATTGTATCTCCCCAACCCCGCGCATTTGGGGATGTGCCTCAGTTGCACCCAATTGTTGTTACTAATATTGTATGAGGAAGCACGTTGAAGTAATGGATAGCGGCTTGGAGTGAGGAATCGGAGAGCCGTGTTCGAGTTCCAGTCGAATCCATTACATTCACTTACGTGCTAATACCCTTGGGAAAGGTGTGAATCCTCTTCTTCTCCCTCCAGCTATAGGTAAATAGCAGGACAGACTGGGTTCTATAGCCTTGGATGGCAACTGGTCTAGGAGAAGGAAAAACTCTGAATTCAAAAACTGCGGGGGGTCGTTTGGGGACCTTGTGACACGTAGTGAACCAGGTCTCTGTAATCTGCCCTTCAAAAAGTGTGGATGGTCCTGCACGAAACCTTCACCACTATAATCAAATCTCATGCGGGTTGGGGACCGCTTGTGAATTCCAAATTCCCATGAAACTCCAATATTGGAGCCGGCTCAACCCACCCCGGGTGAATGCCGTTACAGGTAGGGGGGTAGTATTGATTTTCGGGTGGGCTAACTTTAATCTTAAACAGCTCCAATTGAACGGCAAAAATTCCCAGTAATAAAAGAGCCGGTCAAAGACGGCTTATACTGTTAGTTTAAGATACAAGGTATTAAAAACTAAATTTACATTGCTATTACAATGTTGGATATTTCAAAACAATAACTATAAAATAATATACTTTAAATATGTTAAAAAGCTGTATGACGTTGGTCAAGTTACGTTTGCATCAATTTAAAACAAAGCGACTTTTGAACTTCAGCGTTCCTCGATGTAGAATTGTAACCGGTGTTTTTGAATCCCGTCTCACACATTACTACATCTATAAGATTTAATTGATAAAATCATTATTAGTCTGAAGAAGTCTTTTCGAGGGACGAAACGTTACGTAGAATTTTTTGTCATTTGAATTACCCTCTAAAATCAAATATAAAAAGGTTCAAATATTACCTTAGTCCGAAGTAAATCTACAATTTCGTGATACCCTGTAAGGATCTAAATCATTAGAACTG